AGCTTTTGAAAGAAGGGAGGACTTTGTAAGCAAAGGATTTGATGTTTTAATGCTTAAAGAATGAACATGGGATGTCATAAATCAGAGGCCGTTTTAGTATGCAGATAGAGACATAGATTGTGGTTATAAGTTGTGGGCAGGGCATGGAGGATCTTGTCTTCTATTCTGCCCATTGTCTTTATGATACAGGCAGTGGGAAACTTTTCAGGGTTTTGGAACAGACCGTAGAATCTATGTTTGATTATTGGGATAATCAAACTGAACAGATAAACTGAACAATTGGATGATAAGGGATGCAGAGTTTGAAGGCAAAATGAATTCATCCTCTTTGACCCCTCAATACTCGATCACATTTTCTTGTTCCCTTCAGAGTATTTAGAATTATCCAAAGTTGCGTTTTTATTCTCTTGCTCACTAGAATGTACGCGAGATATCTATAATGTTCTGACATATCACAATATGTCTAGGTATTGGTCTTATTCCTCTTATTCAGAACCTAGGAAATGATTTTAATTTGAAGATTTCATCTTGAATTATGTTTCTAGAAATATTTCCTCCATTTTGTCTCTCTTGTCTCTCTGGGACTCCTGTTTGAAAGTTGGGTTTATTGAATTGTACTGTATTTCCCCATGTATAAGACACACCCTTTTTTGAAAAATTTGGGGTCTAAAAACTGGGTGCATCTTATACAGCGGTTGTAGATTTTTTTATAGTGATGAAGAGTTGTATGAATTTTATGATGAATAAAACGAGTTCAATAAAACTTTATGTAATACATTTTTTTTTCAAATTTCGGGCCCCAAATTAAGGTGCATCTTATACATGGGGAAATACATGGGGTATTTCTAGGATGCTTTCCCCCTCCTACCCATGAAATAGTCTATCCGTGTCTTTTTAATTCTGTGAATTTTATTTAACTCTATCTTCTAATATTGGTGTTTAATTTTAAAGTCATATTGAAAATTTGTAAGTGCCGTCTTTTATTCTCTGTGTTCCTGTTTACATGGGGTGTGTGTGTGTGTGTGTGTGTGTGTGTGTGTGTGTGTGTGTGTGTGTGTGTGAGTGAGTGTGAGAATGCTTTTGGGAGATGCAGTTTGCCATGGGCCCTGAGCATCCCTGCATTTTTCTTGCTGGGTATGCCAAGAATACAAAGGGTTGTGTGTCCAGGGACAAGCCTTAAGGAGATGTCTCCCACAGAACATAGCACAAACTTGTTATCATTTACTCTAAAAACAGTAAGTCCCTCAAACTCAGTATTCCTCTCCAGTAACACAGTCAGTTGTGTGTTCAGACATCCCAGAGGACCTTTTCATGTCACCCTGTGAGACTTGAGGTCACAGGGAATTGATGCAGAAACGTGAACAAAGTCCTTTGTCTCTGACCTAGGACTCTCATGTCTTTTTCCAGCATCCATGAAACAGTAACAGACTAGTTGGTTAGCAAGATAAAATCTCAAACCTAGCATCTCGGCTGCTTCTAATCCAGTATTTTGCCTAGCTTTTTGTGGGGGCTGAAGTCTCCTTTGATATCGTACTATTCTCCATAAAGCTTTTCCACTAGCTTTATGTTTTCTAGAGATCTCTCATCTGCTGCTGACTCCACTTTAAGTCTTTTTGTTATTGTGGGATTATACCTTTTTATTTTTTTACTTCCAGTTTTGGTAGAGGGACTCCCCAAAACTCCTGTGAATCATCAACTACTGTATAGAAAAAGCACTTTCTTTTTTTATTAATGTTTTGCAATCACTTATAGTTTTTTGTTTCCATTACTATGCCTACATCCTTCCAGCAACACCATTTCTCTGTTTCTACTCCAACCCTACACCTAAATATAGAACTTTGTTATCTGGGAAATCAACAAAATGTCCAATAGAAATAAATTCCAAGTAGGAGTAACTATGGGCTGTTTGTGCCATTTGATTCAGCTACTCAGAAAATTTTGCTTACTTTTAGGTTTGAGTGTCAATGAATTTATAGATAACTAGAATATATAAAGGTGCAGTATAACTGTATTTACAATTTTAAAACATATACCCTAATGATTATTTCTATTTAAGTGAAATAGAAGTATTCTTAAAAATTGCTGTCTTTTATTAAAAATTAACAGAAGATTTAAGTTTATATAGATATATAATATATACATGTATGTATGTACACACATATGTCTATTGGATATAGATAGATAGTATAGATAAGGAGAGAGAGAGAGAAAGAAAGAAAGATGGCACAAAATAGGGTAAGAGTGATCAAACTTTGTATTTTAAAGGCCAGAATGGGCTTTTGGCCCATACAATTTCAGTCACAACTATTCAACTCTGCCCTTGTATAGTGCAAAATCAATCATAAACAATATGTAAGTGAATCAGTGTGGGTCTGTAGCAGTAAACCTTTATTTATGAACAATAAAATTTGAATTTTATATAATTTTCATGTCATGGAATATTTATTTTCTACAACCATTAAAAAGTATATAATCTGTTCTTAGCTTGCATGCCATACAAAAAGTGGCAACCTTTGCCCTAGAGTTGCCTGTTTTATTAACAGCTTTGTTAATGCTTGAATATTTATATGTCTCTACTCTGTTCCATTATTCTTATCAGGCAAGCCAATGAAGAATACCAAATACTGGCTAACTCTTGGCGCTATTCTTCTGCTTTTTGTAACAAACTCTTCTTCAGCATGGTGGACTATGATGAGGGGACAGATGTTTTTCAACAGGTAAAAGTTAGTTATATTTTATTTTGCTAATAGATTCAATAGAGTTGATTATAGTTGATGCATTTTTTGTTTGCCAGTTGATAAAAACATAAATTGATAAATACAATAGTAATAATAAATGTTGTGATATAATTAAAATAATGACAGCTAATGTTATTTTTATTCTTGAATAGTGTTTGCCATTAGTGAGTATGATAAACACATTTTAACTTTTTTTTNATTTGTTTAGGATGCTGTTTACCAGGGTTTTTTCTCGTCAAAATCATAATAGGTGGTTCTACTCACACCAGACCTTTATATATTAATATCTATAGAAATTTATTAATTTGGGGGTTTTACGAAGACATACTTTGGAATAACTATCATAAATATATGACTATAAAAGGCATACATGGGATTTTGATAGGAATTTGTTACTTTATAGGAAGTTTGTATAACACTGAGAAATCATTTCTTAAAAAAAATCCTTTCAAGGGCATAACAGATAAAAATTACATTCATCTTGGGAAATACATTAAATATATACAACTACAGATGAGTTAATAATCCTTTTTAGTTTTACATAATCTTTAAAAATGATTATAATATAAACAGTTATAGCATTTGGATTAAGTAATTTTTTTTCCTTCTTGTTCCCATAATGAAAAATTGAGAAGATTTAACAGAGCACATTTTACAGAAGTGTGCCCTGCAGTTTCTGCTTAAGCCGTCCTGGATGCTTTGGTACAACTTGACTGCCCTCTTCAGGCTGCCTGTGAATTTATTAGAATAATTTACAACGTTTCCTCAATTCATAGTTAGGCCTCTAATATTCCTGAGTTACCAAAACATATTTTTTTTTAGTTAACAGTGTTGGGAATATACTAATTTGAGTTATATGTTTGGAGCATTTGTGGTTTTTCAGTTTTCAATTTCAATGGCAGTGAAGTCTGAAGTGTGCTAATAAGAACTCTTGATGCCTTACTTTTCTCATTAGTCCAAGCTGACATAAACATATACAAAAATTAGTGAATTTGTTATTTGTCATTAGTTAGGATTCTTCTATTCCTTATTAATCATTAAGAAGTTGGACTAAAGGGGGATATGAATAATGGAGTTAAGTTTAGAAAACAGGATTTATGTTATTGGGGCACATTCCTTCTAATGAGTCTTTTATACTCTGAATAGATGTCAACATTGAAATTCATATTTCTCAGGCTTGCTGAATTATTTTTAGTGACAGTTCTGTTCATTGATCTTATTGCTAGTGAATTATATCCAACAGAAAAAAGTCCCCATTTATCTTGTCAATATCAAATTTTCTCAAGTATTGTACTTGTGTAGAAAAAATATAATGTGCTTAGCTCCCCTGGAATTCTGTCTTTCAGCTAGATATATTCTTAAGTAGAAGCAACTTGTATAAAAAAATTTGCTAGATGCTTTGGTGTTCTAGATTCTAACAGAGAATATGTAAGAAATAGGTCAGATCTTCATGTATAGTCTATTTAAGTAGCCTCATGTTTTCCCAAGTAGACCATTATAATAATATTCTGAGTGGCTTCCAAACATTTATTTTCTACTTCTCC